AAGACACTAATGAGAGCTGAGAGAAGAGGCACACATCTTTGTCCTGCGAGGCCAGTTTCAGCCCCCTATCAAAAAGAGACCTTCCTTACTAGGAAAAAAAAAATTGCTATAATTTGTTGAGTAGGTAGGAGTATTATATCAATATTTGATATACTGAATTTGAAAATTGCACTATGACTGTTTAAGAAACTATCTTTGTTCTTAGAAAATGAACCCTGAAATATTAAGGAACAAAGGGGCATGGAGTATGCAAACTATTCTCAAACTTCAAATGGTTCAAAATATAGATTATATGTATGTGTGTGTATGTGTGTTTAGAGAGAGAGAAAGAAAATGATTTTTTTAAAGTGGGAAAAAGATTTTTGTTTTTTTAAATTACACATCTGGATAAAGGGTATTCAGGAGTCTCTTATTATTGCAACTTTTCTTTAAAGTTGAAAATATTTCAAAGATTTAAAAAAAAATTTTTTAAAGAAAGACTAGCCTAAGTTTTTCCCTGGGCCACCCAACAGCACTGTGTCATACCTATACACCTAGGTAGCTTCAGAGATTCTTGTTTCCTCTTGTTTAACAAGTTCTTCCCTCCCAGGATTTTCTTCCCTCTGAGAAGTGCCCTGGATGCTAGTCTTCAGAAAAATGGTTATCACCTTGTGGTCTGTGTGCTCTTAAACCCAGATTTTTCCCTAAGCCCACCCTCCTCCCACTCCCTCAACCCAGCCCTGAATAAACACACTCAGTCAATTCTCTTTTCTGCTCCCACAGACACTTTGAAGTAAGGCTATTTGGGCATTGAGACAGACCCAGATACCCAAGACAGGAAATATCTCAGCCTGGGAAACTGCAGTTTGATTCTGTCAGTAATTTGTTCCACTCCTGAATTACATCCACTCTCCTGTGGTTCATAGCAGCCTGCTCTTGACCATGAATTTCAAACCAAGCCATTTCCTTATATTCTCCATATGTACTGCCTTTAAGCCTTTCCTGTCGTTTCTGGAATGTCAAGATCTTTGACCTTTATTTAGGTCATCTCTCCAACATGGTTATATTGTTTTTCACATTTTAGAATTGTATCATGACTTCACTTGAAGATTTGGAATATTTGAGTCAATCATGAATTTCCACATCTTTCCTATGAAACCTATCCCATCTTTCCACCCTCCACTCCCTCTTTCCAACCCTCAGCCAATAACCACTTTCCCATAAGAATACCCAGATTTACCCTCTGGGGCACTGGCTGCCCAGCCACAGGCATGGGGCCAGATGTGATGAATGTCCCAGGCCTGACATGTTGAGACTGCTCGCTCTGCTGGACCCAGATCTGCTGGTGCCTGCAGGGCCTGAGGTGCTCCGCCTTCCAAAATGGCCGAGCAGTCAGACAAGGACATCAAGTACTACACTTTGGAAGACATCCAGAAACACAACCAAAACCAGAGCACCTGGCTGGTCCTGCACCACAACGTGTACAATTTGACCAAATTTTTGGAGGAGCACCCTGGTGGGGAAGAAGTCTTAAGGAAACAAGCTGGAGGTGATGCTACTGAAAGCTTTGATGATGTTGGGTACTCTAAAGATGCTAGAGAATTGCCCAAAACATAAATCATTAGGGAGCTTCATCCAGATGACAGATAAAAGATAACCAAGCTTTCGGAAACTCTTATTACTACTGTTGATGCTAATTCCAGCTGGTGGACCAATTGGGTGATCCCAGCCACCTCAGCACTGGTTGTAGCCCTGATGTATCACCTCTACATGGTAGAAGATTAAATACATCCTCTACAAGCTCTCTGGCTTGTTTATTGATAATAAAGCTCAAGTAGAAAGGAAAAACTGATAATGCAAGAGAGAATTGTTGGAGCAATGATTTTGAGTGTTGAGGCTCTGAAAATGGATTGCCTGGGTTTATGTTTGTAAATGTGTTATTTTATCTATGAATTATGCTCAGGATAGTAAAGGGGACATACAACACGTTTGCTGTAAAAGGTTGGATCTGGTGACATGGTTGAGAAACACTGGTTTTAAAGAATTAGTAATAGTCAGGGTTCTTGCTACACTGTGCACACGAGAGCTTTTCCTTCATCCTGCAGTTGCAGCTACTTCTCCCTAGTGACAGTGACAGTTGACTGGCTACAAGAATCCAGCTCAGCCCTGGTCTGAGGCTTTCCAGCTGTGAAGAGTTTCTTAGCATTGAAGACATGGAAACAAAAGAAAGGAAAGAATGCTGAACAGTGTTTTACTAATAAGGAATCCAACTCTGCTGTGGGTCCCAAATAAGCCATGAGCTTTTTTTCCAGGGATTTTGTCACTCCCATGCCCACCAGATACACAAAACTCCAGGGTGGGAACAGCTGGAAGTGGCATGGCGGAGCGGGGGCGTGGGGGGTGTGGAGGGGGTTGGGATGCATTTTTTTCACATGTTATTTGAGTTGGTATCTAAACACTGACCTCCATTAGGATCCTAGAGAGCTCAATTGTGTGCAGAGCATAGCATCAGTTTACCCTGACCCACCAAACACAAAGGGATCTGGCCTCTTAAAGATATTCAGTAAACATGATAGTGAACACTTACTTTTTTTTTTTAAGATTATATTGGGGAATTGGAGAAGGGGAACAGTGTTGGGGAATTGGGGAAGGGAACAGCCAAGTTGTTGTCCATCAATGTTAGTTGTGGAGGATGCAGCTAGCTCAACTCCAAGTCCAGTCACCATCTGGCTGCCCGTCGGCAGCTCAGGGCAGCTCAGCTCAAGGTGCCATGTTCAATCTTAGTTGCAGGTGGGCATAGTCCACCATCCTATGCAGGAGTCGAACCGGCAACCTTGTTGTTAGGAGCACATGCTCTCACCAGCTGAGCCATCCTGCCACCTGTTGGCAGCTCAGTGGCAGCTCAGCCTGGGGGCAGCTCACTGGCCCATGTGAGAATTGAACAGGTGACCCTGTGCCTCAGAGCTCGCGCTCTTAACCAACTGAGCCACTCGGCCAGCCCTGTGAACACTTACTTATGATAATAGGGAGTGTAATTCTTCTTACAGTTCTCAAGGTTATGCTTCACTCAAGCATGGCCAGCCAGGGGGATAAGTAGAGACTGAAACCTAACTCATGCTCTTCTCACTAAATTATACAAACTAGTACAGAGTTGACTTCACCCAGAAAAGGGGCTTTTCCTCCAAATCTATACAAAGGTATTGTTTAGGCTTTCTAGGGACCTAAATAGATGGCTTTCCATTTTAGTTTATTTTCACATAAACAACCTCATATGACTCTCACAACTGTCCACCAGGTAAGCAGAACTAGAATTATTTCTCCTGCTTTACCATAAAATTGAGACCTAAAGCCAGAACAGGAATGGGACACTGACCTCCTGACTCCCAGCATTGTTCCTTCTCTTGTACTGTCTGCTTTGCCCCTGACGATGTGTTCAGTTGAAGTCATTTCCTCACGGATCTAGAAAACAACTGGCTATCATTGATGCCAAACACAACCTTGCATATTTAAGATGGGTATTTTCAGTTTTATTAAGAATCAGAACATTCACATTTATAAAATGAACTCATACAAACCTGCTCACAATCCACAGAAACCTCCCCTTCTAACTTTGGCCAGATCTTTCTGTTATAATCTTCTTATCCCCTTTTACCTGTCCAGGCCCTGTATAGCCTGGGTCTACCTGGTAAATGACCCTCTGGGGGAGTTATCACACTATGTCTTTTTGTTTCTGAGTGATTTTGGCAGCGTCCGTAAAATTAGAACGGTTGTGTTAATAACATGTGATCAATAAAACAGGCCACAACCACCCCACTCTGGTGCAACAGGAAGTCCTAGACTCCAACAAAGTCTACAGAAGGAACTTCCCCAAACCACATCTAACCTATGAAACCCTTTAACCAAGTTCTCTGTCTTCTTACAGCCTACACCTCTGCTAGGAAAGATGCCAGCTCACTGACATTCTGGGTTGTATCCTCTGTAAAAGTTATGTTCGTCTATTTTTACGAATCAGCATAAGTAACATTCACTGACTTCTTTGAAATAGTCTTCATAATTATTTTTAGAGATGTTTTGTCTAAAAATATTTTTGAAATGGCTTAATTAGCTGGTTTTGCATGCCATAGAAACAACCAAATTTCCCTGTAAGTTGAATTATTCTATTATGAGTCTTCATAACCTTTCACATTTGAAAGTTATCAGATATAAATTAAGCATGGGCATTTTAAGGCTCTGTCACCTACACATAGTTTTTGTTTCACGCTAATGTCTGCCTAAAGGCTCTGCTATCAACTACAGGCCAGAATTTGTGTTTTCAGCAATGGTCAGTCTCATAGCCTCATGAAAAGACTATACTAGATACTTGAAACTATTGGTTCTTTGAAGCATACACTCAGCTACATTTGTTAAGTTACAGTTATTTCTTTTGCTTAGACTGAGACGAGATAACAAAAGGCATCCAGGAAGGCCAGATGGCCACCTGGGAAGGACTTCAGGAGGTGGAAGCAACACAATTACCCAAGCCACACTGGGTCCTGTTTTCAACTCCACACTTCATTTTTTCTCTGCATCCCAGCTCACAGGATTGACACACACCAATGAATTCCAAAATAAAACAATAAACTTTCAATAAAGAGCTATGTTGAAAATATGTGCATTCGAAAATACACCTGCTCCACACCTTCTTTCCCTGACTTAAGTGGGAGACCAAACCATGGAGATGTTTGTTTGCCTGCTGAGCAGAGCTGGTGAGTAATGTTTATTCAGGCCAGGATAAGGGTGGGGAGACATTTCTGACTCAGAATTAAGGACCGAGACAGCATTTTATCCCTGAACAGTGGTGGTTCACAAGGCAGCAATGCCGGAAATTTAGAATTTCCCTTTCTAATCTCCAAGCTACCCAATCTCCTTCTTAAAATATATTAGCATGCTTGTTGGTTTGTATTCTTTCATATTTCACCTTGTTCCAAGATAGGATTAAAGGGAGCTTGCAAAACTATGATAGCCTCTGCACTCCAGCGAACATGGCGCTGCGAGTGGCGCGGAGCGTGTGGGCGGTGGCCTGCAGCCTGCGCACCACCTCGGTGGCCCTTGCACGCCGCCAGCCAAGGCCCTGGAGCCTGAGGGTGGGCGCCATGCGGCCGCTGCGCACCGGCCTCAATCTGCTCTCGGTGCATAAATTCACAGAGAAACATGAATGGATAACTACAGAAAATGGTATTGGAACAGTGGGAATCAGCAATTTTGCACGGGAAGCTTTGGGAGGTATTGTTTACTGTAGTTTACCTGAAGTTTGGACAAAATTGAACAAACAAGATGAGTTTGGTGCTTTGGAAAGTGTGAAAGCTGCTAGTGAACTCTATTCTCCTCTATCAGAAATAACTAAAATTAATGAAGCCCTTGCAGAAAACCCAGGACTTGTCAACAAATCTTGTTATGAAGATGGTTGGCTGATCAAGATGGTACTGAGTAGCCTCAGAACTAGAGGAGTTGATGAGTGAAGAAGCCTACGAGGAGTACATAAAATCTATTGAGGCGTGAGAATGGAACCCCCTGAATAAAGCAATGTGAAACAACTTTAAAAAAACAACCAAAAAAACCCCCAACTATCTATGATAAATAATAATGCAAATCAAATTAAGGTTAAGAGAAAAGAGTCAGGATGCAGTTTGATCAATTGATTTTTAGTTGTAAGGATGCTAAAGTCACTATACTTCCCTAAGCCTTCATTTTGGTCCCCAAAACTAGAATCTCTGGGTTCTTAGTGCTCCTCCATTCTGGTGATAGATTAAGGGTTTTAGCTAGCATGTTGTAGTCTTATTTTATTTATTAATTTTTTTTAAAGATTTTTATTGGGGAATTGGGGGAGGGGAACAGCGTTGGGGAATTGGGGACGGGGAACAGACAAATTGCTGTCCTTTTGTTCTTCAGTGTAGTTGTGGAGGACGTCACTTTACTGGCCCATGTTGTTATTACGATCATTGTGCTCTTCCCGGCTGAGGCAGTCGCTTGCCGGCCATTGGACAACCACTCACAGTAGCCCACTGCCGCAGGGGTTGCAGCCTACACCATTGCCGTCGACTCACCGCAGCCCAGATCCAGGTAGAGCTGCTGTTCACCGTCTTAGCTGTAGAGGGCATAGCGTCACTGGCTTTCATGTGGGATCCAAACCCAGGCCCTGCTGCTGGGAGCTGGCATCTCAAGCCAACTCTTAACCAATGTGCCACTCGGCTGGCCCTGTTGTAGTTTTATTTAGAGTAAATTTGTGGTTTTTATTAAGGTTTCTAAAATGTTAAAATTAACTAAGAGACCTCCGAGCTTACATTCTTACATCTAGGAGCAATCTTGAAAGAATAGCCAACAATAGCCTCAAACAAAAATAAATAAACAAATAAAGCTTATATCAAGATAGTAGACACAGGTGCCCCTCGATTTGCAAATCAGATATTTTCCTGCACAAAAATCATCCCATGGGAAAGCAATTCAGCTAGAATTTCAAGGTACAGGGGCTTGCTTTCTCTTCATGAAACTGTGTCTGGTGCTCTGATCAGGTAATGGTGATAGTCAGGGCCACTAGCAGCCTAAAGAGCAGAGGTTTGTTTTTTTTTTCTATGAGAAACCCATCTACCCTGGTAAGGTCATCAGGTGGACAAGCCACTCCTAAGGGCACGATGCTCCTAAAAGCAGGTTACAGAGCCAAGAAAAGGCACCACTCACCAAGAGAAACTCAGCCTTTTCTGTATTTTCTTGAGATCAGAGACGAAGTTCACTTGGGTCAGCAGACCCTGGTGCAGAAGTTAGCTTTTTGTGAAGTGCAAATAAGATTTATTAGCGCACAGTAAGCTTTGGTGTAGGAGAGAGGAAGGGAGAGGAAGAGAGCCAGGAGGAGGGAGGGAGGGGCCACAAAACAAAGCACTAGATAGGCCGGCTGAGTGGCTGATGGTTAAAAACTGGCTTGGGACGCCAAAGGGCCCCGGTTCGGATCCCACATATGAGGGCCAGTGACACTGCCCTCCACAGCTAAGATGCTGAACAACAGCTCGACCTGGAGCTGGGCTGCCAT